TCCATCTTGAAGAAGCCCATTTATTCCAAATACATTTATTGAAATCAGAGTAATATTAAAGTGTGGAATATTCATTGTTGTTGATGAATGTATACAGTCACTCATTTGCCTTCCCATGACGACTGATGATACCTGAAACAATAAACAACTGAGCAAGCACAAAGCTTAGTGAGTTTCTCCCAAACTACCCCATACGATAAACATACAAGCATGCATCGGGTCCACTCAGCCATTGGGCTGGAATACCCAGGGTTTGTTGGCCTACCGCCTCACCCCAACCGCTCTTCCCGAGCATCCGTGCCTACGGCTTACAACCGGACCGCACCGGGTATCTTGGCCTACAATACAAAGCAGGATCACCTCAACCCACTACTACCATATGTCGACAAATAAACAATCAAGATCAAGTAGGCACATAGGCAAAAAACAATCACACAGCTCACTACCGCCTACTAATCCTCACATGGCACACTCTCCCACTACCAGATATCCTCCATGAAATGCATAACCATAGGTAACCAGAGGTGAGACAGCCACCCGAACAGATGATCCTACTCTAGAGCCACAACCAAACTAGGAAAATGCAAGAAAGCCTAGATCACGGGTTCTCAGGCTATCCTACATGACCACATACAATCCCTAGGGGACTCCACTAGATGATAACCAACAAGTACATGTAAACATACAGATCTACAGATCACTACCGCATAGCAACATCCTATATACTAAGATACGAATCTAACAGATCACTACAACATAACAACATCCTATATACCAGGAACCACAACAAAAAAAGGAACGTGTAAAAGAGCCTAGATCAAGAGTCCTCAGTCTATCCTACATGACTATATATAGTCCCTATGTCATCCTTCTACTAAAGATTACCAAAACTAGTAGGTAGACATTGGTGCCTTCAACCCACGGGTACAGTGAGGTGAAACTCACCTGAATCGAAGAAACTTGAAACACTGCGATATGCTCCCTTCTGCACTGCTTGCTCCCGCAAATCCACTAACACCAGAACCAGATAAAATCTTAATCAATTGCCCAAAATCCTCAAGTTTGACCCAAGGTCAAACTTGGTCAAAAAGTCAACGGTCAATGGAAGTCAACAAAAGCCAAAGTCCAAGGCAGTCGAGTACGCCCAACTTACTCAACGTACGCCCATCGTACACAGTCTGATCCCATTCCTTCATTAAGCACTTAATCCATTAAGGACTTTTCACCCAAACTCAGATCTAGCCTCAAAACATTGTCTTAAGTCATAAAGTTTCCACCTTTATGACTTTCCATGGCTAGGGAAGGTCCAAAAGCTAAAACCCTAACTTATTAATCCATTAATACATCACAACTCTTGCATGGAAGGGATAGAAGGGCCAAGATCACATTTTTTTTGTTCCTAATAGCTTTATAATGGATAAAGTATCCAACTTTATCCATTATAATGGTAACAACAAACAAGATCTAGTCGTTAAGTCTCAAAGGGACCAAAGGTGCATCTTTTTCAACTTAATCCATTAGGTTCAAGTATCCAACCTTTAGATCTGAATCAAAATGATGCTTAGATGGATAAAGTTTCCAACTTTATCCATAACGATGTCATAAACTTTCAAGATCTAAACTTTATGCACTAAAGTGACAAAAAGTTCATAACATCTAAAACTAGCTAGATCTAACAAATGCATCATAAAGATTCAAGCTTTATACCTCCAAAAGAAAGATCAAGGTGAACAAGGTCTAGATCTACAAGCTTCAATGCAACCAACGCTTCTTCAATGAGTTCCTTCTTCTCCAATACACCAAGAACACTCCAAAGCACTTAAAAACGCCTTCTTTTTGCTCACAATGCTCAAACTAGGATTAGGGTTTCAAGGGAGGGTGTTGGAGAAGCGAAGGCGCCCGTGACTAGAAATTCATCATGACCGGGGACGCTCAGGGTCGCGAGGGTAAACCGGTCATAGTCAGATGGATTCTCCCTCTTTTTGCTTGCATGCCATGATAGAGTTGACATCTCCTTTGACTTTCCTCAACTGCATGAAGTTGTGGAGGAAAAGATACCTCAACTGGTCAAAGCTGGAGATACTTCCTGGAAGTAGTGCCTTAAACCATTTGCTAGCATTTCCCGATAGCGTGATCGGGAAGTAGGTGCGGGTAAATCTCTTGTCCATCTGAAGGGATGTCATTGTCCACTCGTAGGTGTCTATGTGTTCGTCAGGATCTGTCGTGCCATCATACTATGGGATGTCTGGGATCATGGCAGAATGTGGTATTTCATACTGTAATAGCTCTTGGCAGAACGTCGAGCTAATACTTGTTACGAGGCTGTTCATGTATGGGTAAATGGGTGCTCCGCTGACCATCGCCTGCTGTACGCGGTATGGGTTGTTGTACCCATGGCCATACTCGTAATGGTACATGTGGTTGTACATGGTTGCTTGAGGCATATATAGTGTCTGTGTGGAGTATGCATGTATCGGCTGATTCACCTGCGAACTTGACTCTGTTGGCCCCGTAGTGTGTGACTTCATCCCATACGTTGGTGTGCCTTGAATGTTGTGGGTTTGTGGTTGCGTTTGAGGGTACACGCCTTGGTAGTGGTATGAATACGGGTTGAACGACGGTTACTGTGCAAATTGCGGGATATGTGACATGGCAGCCATTGGGGAAGAGTGATGACCTGCAAGCATTGGTGGTGCGACTGATAGAATGGTGCCAGGGGACCAGGCGTTGGTCCCCACCTGTCGCGTCGATGGTTGTGGTCGATTTTCTGTTTTTTGTGATTGGTTGGTTGGCGCTCTTTGAGGCGCTGTGGTGGTAGTCGTGGCCGGATGTTCCATTGCGACGGGCGGAGGTCGCCATAGACCAGCGATGAACTCCACCGTGGGGCCGACTGGCGGCATCGTCGGTGTCTTTGTGAGCGGCTGCCCTTCCAGTGTCGACGGACCTCTTCTGTCGAGGAACTGCATTGGTCTAACTAGGCTAGTGTCGTCACCTTCCTGCCGTATCGGTCCTTAATCCATCATTTTCGGCTCCTGATGTTGTGAAGTGGGTTGTGCCGTACTGAGTGCATGTCCAGATAGCGCCTGTCACAACCCCGAACCAGAACGGCGGAAACGTCCGGACGCGGGTGACGTCATTATGCAGTATCATAACAATTGAATATAAATGAAACATAGCCAATCCAAACATCATACCTTAAGATAACAAACTTACATTGTTTTACATCATGTATTTGTTCTCAAATTACACACAAAAGAGACTATAGTAAGTAAATTCCAAACTACAGCAAAATAATCCTGAGTCCGCGTTCCATAAACCTGCTTACTGATTTCCTGAGAATTCAAGTCGTTTGAAAAGCGTCAACATAAAATATGTTGGTGAGCTCATAAGCATTTCTGTATAAAAATTTGTGATAGTTTAGAAAACCAGAAAATCCAATATTTTCTTGTCAAAACAGTTGTAAGTCTTGTTACCAATCAAGTATAGTTGCATGTGTGTTTTAGTTTGTCCTTTTCGAAATCGCATAAAATCGTTTACTCCAGAAAATCCTATATTTTCTAATGTACAAAATAGTGGTCTTAAAACCCTAAGACTTGTGTGGTAAAAGCTTCGTTTAAAGTATCCAAACAATAGTTGTTTATAATCGAAAGGTGTAACTTGCGTAAATTTCTAAATAATACTGTTATATTCTAAGTGAGTCGTTATAACCATACTAATATGACGGAGTGCCTGTCTAGACGTTCTTTAGGTGCCAAATTCGTTCAAGACATTTGTCACCCTAGACTGGCCGGTCTAGCTGTAGCGAACAGCGAAGGTGCGGGGTGTCAACCCCGTATAGATCTATACACAAATTCTTGCTCTCCCTCCAGGAGACTCTGGTTATAACTCATACAAGACTTTAAACGTACGCTAGTATATATAGGTACCGTGAAGGTGCGTCTGACTAGAATACTAACAGATATTTGTGCAAATAGTTGAAATCTGTTATTTATTAAATAAATAACAATAATTGTACTTGTTGACTAGATATTTCGTTTTCGTTTGCTGAAAATAATCCACTTTGAATCGTGATTATCAAAAATGACCCAATATTATCGATGTTGGCAAAAATGGTCCTTCTTTTTATAAATTATCAGTTAAGGCCCATATTTGTCGAAAAGTGTCATAAGTGACCCAAAACTACAAGGATTGTTGAAAATGGCCCATTTCTTCTAAAATACTCATTTTAGACTTATATTTAAGGAAGTATATAAAAAGGTCCTTATTTATCCAATAATTCCATTTTTTATCCTTAATAAATCGAAGTGTTCACTAATTACTTAAACTTATTCCATGTTCCAAAAATGATTTATATATATATATATATATATATATATATATATATATATATATATATATATATATATATATATATATGGCCAAAAATAGCCCAAGATATTAGTATTTTCATAATTTAACATCTTCAAAATATTAGTTCCAACCTCTTGTTTATACAATTTCTTTGAGCAATCCTTGTGATTTTTGACATAAGATTTTATGAATGATAATTCATATAAATACTAGTGTTTACTTCTAATCAACAATAATTAATGAAAAATAGTTCAAGCTCTTGAGACTTAACCAAAATCTCGAATTTTGGACTTCTATTGAGAGTTTCATGATTTTAAACACATACATCACAACATACAAATATAGACAAGCAATTATACCATGATTTCACGAGACCCTTCACTTGTATCCTCCCCCAAAAACAATGAAAAACTCAAAAGAGGGGTATGAAGCTCACCTTGGGTAGAAGATAGTGTAATGGGAGAGATGAGGTGAGAAATTGGAGCCTAGAACACTTGAAGTGTTGGATGAACGTCTTGAGGACTTTTGCTAGCATAAGGTTATGAACACATAAATTTATGTGTAAGTAGAAGATTAAAAATGACTAAATGTATGGATCATTTAACTAGGCATAATTTACTTACCAAATCTTAGGAAGAATTGTGCAGAAAATGGTTCCTGGAACTTGGTTGAATGTATGGGAGGGTTTACAGAGAATTCACAGAAGTGGAAATGAAGTTGTGAATGGAGAAATGAGGTTTACGCTCTATCACATGGGGATAAGAATTGGATGGGATGTTTGCTTTTATTACTGATGGGTAATGTCAAATTAATAAGGGTTAATGCATGTTTTACTGGGATTTGCATTGGGAATTTACGCATTACAGCTCACCATCACCGTAAACACATTGAATTGGAAAGAGGTTCACGGTCATAATGGGTTTTGACAAGGGTTTACGCTCAAAAAGGAATCCCCCAAGGGGTTTACGGCCAAAAGGGGTCCACCAAGGGTGGTTTACGGCCTAAAGGTGGCCTAGAATGGTGTTCATGGTCAAGGTTTCCTTCCTCAAATGATGTTTACGGCCTAGGCTAGTGGCTTAGGGTGGTTCACAGCCAAAGTGTTTCCTTGTAAGTTGTTCACGGCCAACATGTTCACTAAGGAGTAGTTCACGGTCATGGAAACTTCCTAGGGAAGTGTTCATGGTCTTGATGTATAGAAAACTTTAATATGTTGGTTCTACTGTTTATGTGATTTATATTTGACGTAAGTTCAACATCCCATATAATTTCATAGCTCATGAGAGTTCTAGGGTAACATAGTTTTAAAAAATTTACATTACCATAACATAATAATAGTATCGCTATAACTATTACATATACAGGACTCCTTTGGCTTGGTTTTTGGACTTGAAATTTCCAGTTGTGACAGCGCCAACTGTTGTGATATGTCTACGGCTTAACTCCATCTCTTTGAAAGATGGAAATAAAGGGCCTGAGAATCACAACAAAGAAAACAAGATCGTCAGTCTTCGTCCGGGAGGCAGTCCCGGAACGAGGCTCCGACAATCAACTCAGTTGGTCTCTTAGAGAGAAGGTGAAAAGGTATTAGGTAAGAGTTTATGGGTGGCATTTTTTCGATCCCTTCTATTGGAGGAGAAGGGACCTTTTTATACCTGTGGTCAGGGGGACAAATCTCCGACAGTACCTTCTACTTTTTTAGGTTTGGCAGGGATAGATAGCCTTCGATTGGTAGATCGTGCTCCGCGAGTGGTTGTTTGCTATTGGTGCATGTTTTCCAGGAGCGGCGTCCTGAGAGCTACACATGTCGCTCTAGGAGGCGATTGGTACTATTTTGTCTTGACGCTGAACTTGGCGCTTGGGCGCCAAGGAACAAATACGGGATCGTGAGGGCGAGGTCGAGGATGTGGCGTTAGGCATACGCCGTCCTTTGCCCAAACCATCTATCAGAGTGACGGTTATGTTATGTTTGACGTATTCCTGGTGGGATACGTCATCAATCATATAGTAGACTGCAAGGTCTATGTTTTATCCTCTTCAAAACCTTTTACTATCGTCATTCAACCAGTGGCCATGTGACCCTATCCCACTATAGAATACGAAGGCAAAGTTCGTGTCGTCCGCCATTCCCCCTTCTTCTTCTGTTAAAGCCACTGTATCTTCTTCACCGACGACGACCAAGCGGGTGACAAAGTTCGTGTCGTCCGCCATTCCCCCTTCTTCTTTTGTTACAGCCGCCACCTTAGAAGCTTTCCTGCTGCCGCCGCAACTGTTACATCGTTGCTGCCGTCGCCGGAGAACTCGTTTCCATTGCTCCGGTCATCGGTTTCCATCCCGAAGGGCTACTGTGTCGTGTGTCGCTACCCCAACCGTCGTAAGCACCGTTGTAGCACTGTTGTTCTTCCCCCTCCAAAGTGTTGCTACCGTCGTTATGCACCACCAAGTGGTGGTTGCATCCATAAGTCTGAGCAAGGGTTGTTGCGGGGGTGTTGTTGCTTGGCTGGGAATCAAGAGAACCGCTGTGACAACCCGCAAATTTTTATCTTGTAAGTCCAGCCAATCAACCAAAAGTCAGACTCATTTCTATTGCCTTCTAGCCTTGTTAAGGGTCATTCTAAGGAGTTTTAAGTCTAGTACACTTAAGGATTAAGTGTATGGATGTGCCAGCTTAAGTTCTTCAAGTTGCAATCGAGCCGGAAACTCCATCACTTGGAGTTTACGGTCATAAACTAGAGATTACGACCGTAAAATCTTGGCTGGCCGTAAACTCCTCCTTTATACATGATATTCCTTCATTTTTCACCACTTCTCACACTTCCAACTCAAGAAACGCGATTCTCTCTCAAGTATCGTCAAGAATTTTCATCTTGATCTTCAAAAGTGTAAGTGATTCTTCCATTTATAAGTTGATATCCTTCTTAATATAGTAGAACTCTATGATTTCATCCATGAAATTATCTCTTTTGGTTAGATCTTCAAACCTTCATCACTTACACCAAGAACACCAAGAACACCCACTTGTTCTTGGTGGTCGTGAACTCCCCAAAGCCTCCCAAAGGTGAGTATTTCTTCCATAATCTTGTTAACCACTAGAAACACTCAAAGCCTCATGAAACAAACACCCTTTAAGCTTGAACCAAGAACCAATTTGCACCATTTTGGAGAGTTTACGGCCATGCAATCTCCCTTGGCCGTAAACCCTCATCAAGATCTTCATTGACCGTAAACTCCCATGGCCGTGAACACCATGGTCGTAAACCACCATGGCCGTAAACACCAAGGCCGTGAACACACTTGTGTAGCTGTAGACCCCTTTAGTGCAATCATATGTGATTGTAACACTTCAATTCAAGTGTTTCCTAGTCCCTAAGGTAGTTTTCCTTGCATGTTAGTTGCTTTTAAACACTAATTACATGCCAATATATGCCATCATATGTCATCTAGGACTCGTTTGTGTCTCGGGACTTCAATCGTGGAACTTCTCATCCTTACGCACATATTCGATTGAATCACCCACATAAGGTGAGTTCATACCCCTATAATCAATCTTTTAATGGTTTTAAATGCTTTTAAGGGTGGGGGGATACAAGTTGAACACAAGGATAATTGTGTAAATGTTTTGTGATAAACATCATTTTAAAGGATTGCTTATGTGTTTATAAGTGATCAAATCATTTCAAAAACTCTTTTAAAGTCATGTTACTTTATAGTTTATAAAACTCCGTTTTTAAAGTACAATCATAACTCAGTAGATAAATGAGTCTTTTCAAGTCAGTAACAGTTAAAGTAAACATACTAGTAAACTATAATAGGTATAGTTTAGGGGTTCAGTTCATACTATAACGAATACAAGGAGGAACATACTACACTATAACAGAGAGAACATACTATACACTAGAACAGAGAGAACATACTATACACTAGAACAGAGAGAACATACTATAACTAGTTCAGGGAGGAACATACTATAACAAGAACAATATAACAATAATGTGAAACCACTACTTCACGACTTAGCAGTATACTTGTTATGTCTCGTTTTGTAACCAGAGTCTCCTGGAGGGAGAGCGTGAGTTTGTGTATAGATCTATACGGGATTGACACCCCACACCTTGCCGCTAGCTACAATAGGACTTGCAAGTCTACGGGTGACAAATGTCATACCAATTTCGACGCCTTTGGAGAGCCGTGTTTTATACTAGTCAAATCGAGTATGGTTATAACCTCATCACATTTTACCTTAATTATCAAACTGGTTTAAGGTAGTCAGTACTTCAGTAGTCATTTTAAAAGACTACTGCATACTTTCATTTTCCCATTACCTTCAAATTGTGATATTCTCACATAAAAGGTAATACAAACTATTTTCGAGTAAAGATAGTTATAAACTAGGAAAAACTTACATCATTACAAGCGACAAACAGAACAATCGAGTCTTAGTACATTCAGTTAGAAGGGGGCCTATAAAGCTAACTTTATGATTCCTCGGTAGATACATCAGGGATATATATTAATCGGATTCGGCAGGTAGTAGGATGTATGCTTTCCGCTTCATTTCCTGTTCCTTGTTTGGTTGTGGGCTTAGAGCAGATTCACCCAGTCTACTATCTATTCGATCCTAGCTATATATATATATATATAATATATATATATATATATATATATTACGTATACACCAAGTAATCATAATGAGTACCAGGTATGGGTCAGGTCATAGTATACTAATTCAATACACCGTTTTCTAGTACAAAACATACTTTTCAAGTAGAACATTTGGTAGACAAAACTAGAAACTTACCAGTAAAAGGGTTTAATCCATTTTATTAAACCAGTATAACTTAAAGGACCTTTAGTGGTTAATTCTATAATACCTTAGTTTATACATCAGGGTTATATCTAATTAATATCTGATAGATAGTTGGATGTGTGCTTTCCGCCTTACTTCCTATTCCTTGTTTGGTTGTGGGCTTAGGGCAGATTCACACAATTAACTATCCGTTCGATATTAGATTATATATAGCTAGTATAAACTAAGTGATTATAGAAGGAGCTATCGTGGTTACCATTTTACTAAAATAAATAAGGTTTTTCTTAAAGAATGTTTTCATCAAATATAAAGGAACTATTACAGTTAACTCCGTGAGTACCAAGTGAATACACCAGGGTTATATACAACGAAGATCTAACAAACAATGAGATGTGTGACTTCCACCTCATTTTCAGTTCCTTGTTTGGTTGTGGGCTTAGGGAAGATACACACAATCGATTGTTTGTTTACTCTGGGTTTTATATAACTTGTATCCATTTAGTACTCATAGCAAGGATTGTAGAGTCATTTATTTATCTTTCATCAAAGCAGGAAATATAGGATCTTCTGGAGGAACATGCGAACTTTTCTAAAAAGAACTTTCAAATTACATTACATCACTAAAATACTTATGAACTCACCAACTTAAATGCTGATCTACACTTTCAAAATAACTTGTATTCTCAGGAAACCAGTAGATAGGTACGCGCACTGGGATTCAGAAGATGGAGCATTGTAGCTTCATGTCTTGTTTTGTTATTTACTTTTGTAGTCTCTCTTATGTGAACCACATACTTTGTAAACACTTTCTTTCTAATGAAATGGTTGTTTGTTACTTTGATTACTATGATGCATGTCTTATGATACTAAACATGACGTCCTCCGCCCCCAAACGTTTCCGCCGTTCCGGTTTGGGGGTATGACAACCGCCGCCACCACCGTGAGGTAGTGGATATCATTGCCGCCTTCCCATTTCTGTCGCCGCCGTGAGCCACCAGGTGGGTGGATGGAGTTGTTTTGTGACCATATAGCGGGTGTGTGTGCATGTATTTCTGTTAGTACGTGTTTAGTCTAGCCGAAAATCGCAAGGAAGCCGCCGCCACAACCGTGAGGTGGTGGCTGCCGCCATGAACCCCCGTGTGTGTGTGTCTTAGTGATTGTGTGTGTTTAGTTGAGATTAGCATTGTAAAATGTAATTAGAAATCGGAATAATGAAATGAAATCCTAACCACCAACGTGAGGTGGTGGCTGCCGCCTCCTGCCGCCACCGACCGCCGTGTCGGGTGGTGGTGTGCCATGTTTGGATTGTGACTCGTTTGGAATGTTTGTACAAAGGGACTAAAACCCTAATGGGCCCAATAAATCCCTAATTAACCCTAATTGATCAAATGACCTAGCTATTGGGCCTATTGGGCTAAGATGGGGTTGGAAACCCTAATTAGGGTTTACAAAACCCTAATATTGAATTTATGGGCTTGGACTTATTGGGACCCACACGTGGGCCATTGGAATGGAATTATGCATTAAGCCCAATCACATCATATGACTTATCTAGTAGAGTGATGGACTTAATGGATTAAGTCATTAATGGGTTAAGTGAGAAACACTTAACCCTAGTTGTCATTTTATGTGAAACCCTAATTTTTAATTGGGCCTTGAGTTGGGCCTTTCCATTGGGCTTTGGTAATTGGATTATTAATGGGCCATCCAAGAATAATCTTATGGACTAGAATATGTTGATGGGCTTAGGGTAAGACCCATATGAGGGTTTGGGCCTAATTTGGAAAATTGGGCCATAGTTGGGCCTTAATGATTATATGATATTGGGCTATTAGAATGTCAAATGTTGGACTGGAATAAATGGTTGAGCCTTAGAGTGAGACCATGTAAAGGATTGAGCCCAAGCCATATATTGGGCTTTGACTCATAGTTGACTGTTGGGCCTTTGGATTGGGCCTTAGGCTTGGATCAAGCTAAGATTGGGGTAGAGCAGTCTTTTACCCCAAGCATGGACTTA